AGGAGTTGGGAGTAGCATCTTAATAAAATGTAAAATAATATATGAAACAAGAAAACAGGAGGTCAAGGAAAACCAGTATAGTGTAGCATAGTACATAGTACAATTCTTGAATTAGAAGAGATGCACTTACAAGCGGTGGAGCTAAGAGAGCTTCTTGATCGCGCTTGAGCGGTATGATCCCAGCCTGAGGCTGTAGCAGTGCTTCTCTTGATCTTGATAGGTGGTCCAAGTATATGAAGCGAAAACACAGAAGGGAACACTATATTTTGTAGTATGTTATAATACTAAAATATCACAAAGTAAGATAAAGTAGGAGTTGCACTCACATATGTTAAAGCTTTAAACTATGGCTCATTTTTGATAGTGTGGAGTGGTATGATGATCCCTGTTTTTAATGGATTTTTAGTTTTTTATGGATAATGCTTTAAAATATATTTCAAAAAATTAAGTTAAAGGATGCAGGACGCTCTCTCTCACTCACTTTGATCAAGGCAGATGTGAGGCTTGTCATAGTGAAGCATTGCTTTCAATCTTGGAGAGTGAGAGGCACTGCCAGCTTTTTTTTTTATAGATTAAATGCATATTTTTATCTTAATTAAATACCCATCACACACAGCCAATAAACCTAAAATGCATCCAAACGTTCAGTGTCTCCTCCCTCTGCATGCAAACACTGAACTTTCCTCATAGAGATTCATTGATTAAATTCATCTCTATGAGGAGATGCTGATTGGCCATGGCTGTGTTTGAATCATTCTGGCTCTGCCCCTGATCTGCCTCCTTGTCACTCTCAGCCAATCCTATGGGGAATCACTGTGATTGGATCAGGCTACCACATGTCTGCAGACTGCTTGTTTTTCTGAGTCTAACAGCATGCAGAGTTACAGCTTCAGGTTTGAATACAGTAAGATTTTTACTATATTTATGGAGGCATGAGGGGCCCAGGGGGGCTAGATGGTGGTTTTAACACTATAGGGTCAGGAATACATGTTTGTGTTCCTGACCCTATAGTGATCCTTTAATATCAGTAAAGCCACATTCCACCACTAGGCTCTCTCTAGAGAGGCGAAAGAGAGCCTTTTAAATTGTGTACGCAGCAAGCACACACTGCACAAACAAAAGGAAGAAAATAGGCACTGGCAAACAGCAGTATGTAAGGCTGCCTGAGTGACAGCCCGAGTGGGCCTGTCTTAATGTGTTAGTGATCTTTACAAATCACTGTCTCTATAACCCACTCTCCCAAATAAGACTTGGTTAATATTGCTCTAAGCACTAGCCATACATGTTGCAATATTGCAGAGCGCATGTGGTGCTTAGACTGACTCGTTACATGAATGTGGCATTCCATATTTATAGGCTTGTTTGTTTTGACCAAATTATTCTATCTTTGGTCTTTAGAAGGTTGGTAGTGAATCTAGATTTTACCATGAATTTTAAGTAAATTAAAAGGAATGTCCTTATGATTCATTTAAAAGCTATTTGAAATATTGCCTTGTTAAATAGCACATGGAACTTCAGAAGCTAAAAAGAAAACACACAATGTAATATGAAATGCTGTCTGTGCACTAAAAGGGGATTTCCACCCTAAAATAACAGTAGTCTGGTACTGAAATGAGTCACTTCCCGTGAGATAACCTACACCAGTGGTGGCGAACCTATGGCACGCCGAGCCCCCTCTGTGGGCACGCGGCCATAGGTTGCCGGAGGGAGGGTGCGCCTTAGGGCGCACCGGCCCGGCGGGCGCAAAACCGGAGTGACCGGCAGGAGGTGAGCGCATAGCGCAGAGCGCTCCCTCCTGCCAGGCACTCTGTGTAGCGTGGCTGAGCGCACCGCGGTACAGGAACTTATGTTTCCTGTACCCGGGCGGACAGAAATGAAGTGCTCACAGAGAGAGCACTTCCTGTCTGCCGGGTACAGGAAACTGAGCTCCGCGATGCGCTCGGCCACGCTACAAGGTAGGAGATCAAGGAGGGGAATGAAACCAAGGAAGCATGGAGGGGGACAACTGAGGGGAGGGGTATGGGAAACTGGAGGAGAGATGGGGGAACTAGGGAGAGATGGGGAACCGAGGAGAGATGGGGAACTAGGAGAGATGGGGGAACTAGGGAGAGATGGGGAATCCTGAGGGAGAGATGGGGGAACCGAGGAGGTATGGGGGAACTGAGGAGAGATGGGGAACTGAGGGAGAGATGGGGGAACTGAGGGAAAGAGATGGGGACTGAGGGAGAGATATGGGGACTCGAGGGAGAGATATGGGGACTGAGGGAGAGATATGGGGAACTGAGGAGATATGGGGAACTTCGAGGGAGAGATAAGGGGAACCGAGGGAGAGATATTGGGGAAACCTGAGGGAGAGATATGGGAGCTGAGGGAGAGATATGGGGGGAACTGAGGGAGAGATATTGGGGGAACTGAGGGAGAGATATGGGGGGAACTGAGGGAGAGATGGGGAAGAAAACTGAGTGTGGTATGGGAGAAAAAAAATGAGGGAGGGATGGGAGAAAAAAATGAGGGAGGGATGGGAGAAAAAAATGAGGGAGGGATGGGGGGAAAGAAAACAGTGTGGGGGGGAGAAGGGGGATGACATACACACAGCACCCCTGCCCTACACATATCACCCCACACAAAGACACACACACATCACCCCACACAAACACACACACACCACCCCACACACCACCCCACACACACATCACCCCACACAAACACATACACTGTGTGTGTGTGTGTACTCGGCAGTCTCTGTGTGTGTGTATTTAGCAGTCTGTGTGTGTATTCAGCAGACTGTGTACTCAGCAGTCTGTGTGTGTATTCAGCAGTCTGCTAAATACAGACAGACTGCTAAATACACACAGACAGACTGCTGAGCACACACACAAACTGCTTAATACACACACAGAGATGTTAATTAGTTCGGACAACTGTATGAGTTGTTTTTTCTAAACTTAAACCTCAATATTCAGGTTTAATTGCCGTTTTGGCACTTTGAGGGAAAAAAATTGGCATGTATTACGGTTTGGGCACTCGGGCTCAAAAAGGTTCGCCATCACTGGTGTAGGGGATGTATTATGTGTTATTGTAGAGGATATAATATGTGTGCTTATGGTACGTAGTGTATAGGTGATGCAGTGTGTATGTGTATAAGGGATGTATTGTGTGTTTCTGGTTGTGTGTAAGGGATGCATTGTGTGAATCTGTGTTTGTATGCATAAGGGATGCAAGGTGTGTGTGTCTGTATGTGTGTGTAAGAGATGCAGTGTGTTTCTGTGTGTATGTAAGAAAAGCAGTGTGTGTGTAAGGGTTTGCATGTGTGTGTTTCTGTGTGTGTGTGCAAAGGATGCATTATCTTTGTGTGTGTGTGTGTGTGTGTGTGTGTGTGTGTGTGTGTAATGGATGCATTGTCCGTTTCTCTGTGTGTAAGGGAAGCATGTTGTGTTTCTGTGTGTGTAGGGATGCATTGTGCGTTTCTGTGTATGTATAGGGATGCATTGTGTGTGCGTGTACGCGTAGTGTGAAAGAGTTCCCTGTCTTGCCCCCTGTCCTATAGAGCTGTCCGTTCTGTCCCTTAGAGCTCTCCCCAAACCTTCCCCAAGCGGTCTCTTCTCACACTCACCCACCCTCCCTGGGCTCTTCTCATCCCCCTCACCCTCCTGTGTTCTTTCTCACCCCCCCATGTTCTTCTCACCCCCTGTGTTCTTCTCACCTCCCCCTCCTGTGTTCTTCTCACCTCCCTCCCTGTTCTCATCTCCCCTTCTCCTCACCCCCTCTGTGTTCTTCTTACCCCCTCTCCTCCTGTGTTCCCCAGTCCCCCCGTTCTCCTCCTTCTCCTTACCCACCCTCCCCTTCCTCCTGTGTTCTTCTTACCCCACCCCTTCTTCTCCTCCTTCTTCTTACCCCCTCCCTTCTTGCCCCTCCCTTCTTACCCCCCCTTTTGCCCAGCTCCCCTTCTTTCCCCCCTTCTTTCCCCTTCTTGCCCCCCATGCACCCCCCTTCTTGCCCTCTGTACCCCCCTCCTTCTTACTCCCCTTCCCTTCTTCTTACCCCCCTTCCCTTCTTCTTACCCCTCTCTTCTTACCCCTCCCCTTCTTCTTACTCCCCTTCCCTGTAGCGTGCCCAGCCGGAGTGATAGGAAGGTGCACACTCAGTGTGCACTTCCTGTCAGTCCGGCCGGTTACAGGAAACAGAAAATCTGCGCGGAACAGGAGTTTCTGTTTCCTGTAACCGGCCAGACTGACAGGAAGTGTGCACCTTCCTATCACTCCGGCCGGGCATCGCGGACAGGAGAGGAGCTGGGCCACGCTACAGGGGAGGGGAGAAGCAGCTGCAACCGCCTGAGGCTCTTCACAGAGCGCTCAGGAGGCTGCAGCATTTAAAGGGCCGGCCCTGCAGCGGCTGGTCTTAAAAGAATTTAGGCCGGTAGGGCGGCCTGGGGGGCAATTGCCTCCCTGCCCCCTGGCCCAGCCCACCCCTGCTAGTGGTGTGTTCTGTTTGCATGTGGGGTGGCAGGAGTTGCAGGGGGTGGCATTGTGTGTATGCGTATAGGTGTTGTGCACATGTGTGTACTCGTGTGGTAATAACAGGGGGTGTAGTGTGTTTTTTAGGGGAGTTGTGTGTGCATAAGGGTACAGTGGGTGCACATGATGTGTATATGGGCACAGTATGAATGCAGTGGTGGGGTTTTTATAGGGGTATAGAGTGTGTAATGCTTTTGTATGTGTGTATGCAGGAGGTGTAATGTGTGTGTGTGTTTATAGGCAGTATAGAGTGTAGTGATTGAGTGCAGTGTATAGAGTGTGTGAGTGCAGATAGTGTAGTGTGTATATAGGGGGTATAGTGTGTATATAATTTGTATAGGTGCAGTGGGTGTAGTGTGTATGTATAGGGGGGTGTAGTGTGTGTATATAGTGTGTAGGTGCAGGGGGATATAGTGTGTATGTATAGGGGGTATAGCATAGGCGTGCGCAGCCTATTGCATTAGGGTGTGCACCCTAAAGCACAAACACACGCCGCGTGTGTGTGTGTGTGTGTGTGTGTGTATATATATATATATATATATATATATATATATATATATACACACACACACACACACACACACACACACACACACACACACATACACTGCTGTGTGTGCTGTTAGTGTGATGTGTGTGTGAGGGTGCTGTTAGTGTGATGTGAGGGTGTTTGTGTGTGTGTGTATGTGTTTGTGACTGTGCTGTTTGTGTGTGAGGGTGTTTGTGTGTGTATGTTTGTCCTGTGAGGGTGCTGTTTATGTGAGTGTCGTGTATTTGTGAGGGTGCTGTTTGTGTGTGTGTGTGTGAGGGTGTTGTGTTTTTTTTTTAAAGGTGCTGTGTGTGTTTGTGAGGGTGCGGTTAGTGTACTGTGTGTGTGTGTGAGCTGTATGTGTGTAGGTGCTGTATGTGTGTGTACTGTATGTTTGGAGGGATTTGGCAGATTAGTAAATCCTTGCTGCCATGTTCCATCCCTGGTGGTCCAGTGGAGAGTGAACTCTAGCTTGCGGGGCTAGAGTTAACTCTCGCGAGATCTGAGCGTTGCCGCAGCAACACTCAGATATTGCGAGAGGAACCTGGCGGAGCGTCTGTCTAGAGCTCCCTGGGTCCTCTCCTGCCTCCCTCCATGCTGCTGTGGGCCGGTGAGGTAGATCTTTGGTCTCCCCGCCGGCCCATGGAGGCTTAGAGCAGAGCCGGCACTCAGATAGCGCCGGCTCTGTGTGTGTGTGTATGTGTATATATGTGTGTGTGTGTATATATATATATATATATATATATATATATATATATATATATATATATATATATATATATATATATATATATATATATATATATACGTACACACACACTCACAGACACATTCAGACACACACACATACACTCACAGACACATACATACACTCACAGACACACACACACACACACATTCACACACACAGACACTCACAGGCACACAAACACTCACAGACACACAAACACTCACAGACACACAAACACATACACTCAGACACACAAACACACACACTCAGAGACACACACTCAGAGACACACACTCAGAGACACACACACAAACACACACAGACACTCACACACACACACACACAGACACTGACACACAGACACTCACACACTCACTCAAACACAGACACACACTCAAACACAGACACACACACAGACACTCACACAGACACTCACACACACACTCACACACACACTCACACACAGACACACACACACACACAGACACACACAGACACACAGACACACACAAGAACAAATTATTACATTTTAATTTAAAAAAATTCCACCCAGCCTCCTACCTGGAGTGGACTTTTCCCTGGGGTCCAGTGGGGGCGAGCGCCGCTCTCCAGCTCAGCGCGCGGCGAGGGAGCTCTCTGCTCCCTGCTCCCTCTCGCCGCGCGGGCTGTCTGCTGGAGCTGGGAGCCGGAATATGACGTCATATGACGCGCGCTGAGCTGCAGGGTGGGTGGGGATCCATCACCTCTTGCCCCCCCCATGACAGGGGCAAGAGGTTAAACAGGGGGCACTGAGTGCCTGCAGGAACAGTGTTCCTGCTCAAAAAAAGTGCAGGAACGCTGTTCCTGCAGGACTCAAACCATAGGCGTGCCATGGGGATTAGGGTGTGCCCAGGCACACCCGGCACACCCCGTGCGCACGCCTATGGGGTATAGTGTGTAGTGTGTGTAGG